CTTTCTTTCTTTCTTTCTTTCTTTCTTTCTTTCTTTCTTTCTTTCTTCTTTCTTTCTTCTTTTTCTTTCTTTCTATTTATCTACCTACCTACCTACACACACACACAGCTTGGGTTGAGAGGTGGGGACTGAGCCAGATCGAGAAGGGGTTAAGATCCGACACCACAAGTAAGCAAACATTTGGGGAGGTGGGGGCTAAGGGGGGGGGGGGGGCGGGGGCTAAAGCAGTAACCAGTCAGACAAGTTTGAGGATCAACTGTTTCAGAGGAACTGAATCCGCTCCCTTGCAAAGGAGGAAGCAGTTTATTCTACCGAACAAGTCTGACCTATCTCTGAAGTTGGCATAAGTTTCACGAAAGGATGGATGGACAGGTAGAGAAAGAGGAGAAGAAGAAGGGGAGGAGAGAGAGAGAAGGAGAGAGAGAAAAAAGGGAGGAAAGAAAGAGAGAGAAGAAGGAAAGAAGGAAGGGAGGGAGGGGAAAAGTAGCAAGCAAGCAAGGAAGGAAGTATGGTAAGAAGGAAGAAAAAAGAAAGGGAAAGAAGGAAGGAAGAAAGGAAGGAAAGAAGAAAGAAAGAAAGAAAGAAAGAAAGAAAGAAAGAAAGAAAGAAAGAAAAAGAAAGAGAAAGAAAGAAAGAAAGAAGAAAGGAGAGAGAGAGAGAAAAGGAAGGAAGTAGAAAAAGAGAAACAGAGGGAGGGAGGGAAGAGGAGAAAGGGAAAAAGGAAAGGAAGGGAAGGAAGGAAGGAGAAAAAGAAAGGGAGGGAGGGAAGAGGAGAAAGGGAAGGAAGGAAGGAAATGGGAAAAGGAAAGATGGGAGAGGGAGGAAGGAAGGAGAAAAAGAGAAAGGGAGGGAGGGAAGAGGAGAAGGGGAAAGAAGGAAGGAAGGAAGTTGTCAAAGTTATGACCTTTGCACCATGATCCAAATTCGGATGCTTGGCAACTGACTCATGTTTATGACGGTTGCAGTGACCCAGGGGTCATGTGATCCCCGGCAAGGAAAATCCACAGGGAAGCCAGGTTCACTTAATGACCAGGTGACTCGCTGAGCATCCACCGTGCCAATCCGGTTAACGACTGTATCGAGAAAGGTCGTTAAAACGGGTCAAAGCTCCCCTTCGCACCCGTCTCGCTTGGCTTAACAGGAATTTTGGCCTCCCTCGTGATTCTACGTTGAGGACTTACCTGTTGTTTTGAAGGGGGAAACAAAACAAAAAAAGAAATTCCTGTTGTTTCTCGTTCCAGAGCTCAACTCAGGAGATCGGAGAAGAGTTTGAAGACAGTGTGATTTACAGTATTTCTCTCCGGAAAGTTCAGCTCCATCACACGGCCAACAAAGGCCAGCGATGGCTGGGGGTAAGTTCCATCTTCATCCTTGGGGTTTAAGAATACCAGCCTACCTCGCAGGGCTGTGGTAAGAAACACGGGCGGGTGGCTTATTTGGTTCCCCCCCCCCCGACACAAACTACAATTACCCCGTTCCCCCCAAAATACAACCTATCCTGAAAGTAAGTCCTAGCTTGATTTTTACATGTACGCCCAATATAAGCCCTGCACTCCAAAATAAGCCCTAATTAAGATCCCGCCCACTCCAGAGGAGACCAAAAAAGGTTAAAAGAGTTTTTTCCTTTTCAAACCAAGCAAGCACAGCTGAAAAAATAAAATAGCTGGCCGAGAGTCAGGACGAAGAAGGCGTCGTTTCGATTCTGGCACAGTTGAAAACACGCTCCGTGCCCTGCAGAGTAGACCAAGGGGGGCCTTGCAGGGACTCCTCGGTTTAATGACCACTGCTGGGGTTAGAATTTCCATGGCCAAGCCAGGGGGTTTGCTAAGTGAGCTGGGCCGGATTCTACCGACCTTGCGGTTGTTAAGAAAGTCGCTGCCGTAGTTGAGAGAATAACGCAGTCGTTAAAGCGAATCCATCTCCCTTCATTGACTTTGCTTGTGATCCTGGGGTGCTGCAACGGTCATGGTTGGGCGCTTGGTTGCCCAAACACCCGAGTTTTGATCACGTGAGGATGCTGCTCTCTGGCCCTTTAGTGCGAGGAACATTTGCGAGTTACTTCCTTTTAGGGCAGTTGTGACTTTAAAGGGCCGCTAAACCAAACGGTTGTAAGTCGAGGAGTTCCTGTGTAATAAAACTGTGTCCGCTGGCTAACATGTCTGCCTGTCCAGGAGATGAATAGTTGCCTGCCACACCTATTCATCTCCACCCCCTGCCTTTTATCACCAGAGTGGGGCTTCGCTAGCAGCGGTGGCTCTTCCGTCCCAAGGACCGGCCCATAGATTTCCACTGCTCTCCTCTCCTCTGCCTTCTGTGCATCTGCATGTCAGGCACTGGACCCAGCTGTTCCTCCTCTTCCTCATCAGCCACCGCCACTCCTGGGGGCTGTTGACTCTCCATCTGAGGGCTGACGGACAGTCCAGGCTGCACCTCTCTCTCTCTCTCTCTCCCCCCTCCCTCCCTCCCTCCCTCCCCTCTCGCTCTTCCTCTGCCAGCTCGATTCCCTCTTCTCCCTCGGAGCTCCCAGGTTCCCTTGATGCTGACCCTGACTCCCACGCCTCTTCCTCCTCCTCCTCCTCCTCTTCCTCGTCTGCTGGAGGGGCCGCAACACTCCCCTCCTCATGATTGTCCCTTTGCAGTTTGAGAACGAGTCAGCCTTAAACCTCTACGAGACGTGCAAAGTGCGGACGATCAAAGCCGGCACCCTGGAGAAGTTGGTGGAATACCTGGTCTCGGCGTTCAAAGGCAACGATTCCACCTACGTGACCATCTTCCTCTGCACCTACCGGGCGTTTGCCACCACCAAGCAGGTCCTGGATCTGCTGCTCAACCGGTAATCCTTTCTCAAGACCCGAGCAGTCGCGGGATGGGTCCCCTCTCTCGGAAGGATTTGAGTTTGGGGCAATGGGTAGAACGTTGGCAAAATATTGTCTGTACGTACGTCCATCCTCCTCCTCGTTCTTTCCTTCCTTTTCTCGTCTGTTGCCTTCCTTCTCTCATCTCCTTTCCGAGAAGGAAGGAAAATTAATTCCAAGAGAGAGGAATGGATGGATGAATTCAAAGGTGAATGGGAAAGAGGGAGGGAAGGAAGAAATGAAGCTTTCTTTCTTTCTTTCTTTCTTTCTTTCTTTCTTTCTTTCTTTCTTTCTTTCTTTCTTTCTTTCTTTCTTTCTTTCTTTCTTTCTTTCTTCTTTCCTTCCTTTCTTCCTTCCTTCTTTCCCTTTCTTTTTTCTTCCTTCTTACCATACTTCCTTCCTTGCTTGCTTGCTACTTTTCCCCTCCCTCC